ATGAGCGGTGACGCATTCCACCGGGGATTTTCTGCAAGTTCCGCCTTACCGGGTCTCCCCCTCCGCCTCCGCCCCCCGCCAGGGTTATAAATTATAACGCCCGGGTAGGGACTGTAAACCTTACGATCTGCTGGTGGCGCGGCGCGGCGCGGCGCGTGAGGTGCCACCTGGGAGGGGGCGGGGCGGGGTCAAGTGTTGATGCTGTGGGAAGAGACGCGTGAGCTGCAGCAAGGCGCTTCTCACGCGGTGCAGCCGCAAGTGCGCCTTCATGATTGCACCCTCGCAATCAATCAGTCCATTCGCCATCGCTCTCCGAATGTCTTCATTTTTTTCTCTCCCACTTTCTTTTCCGTGTGTATAACAACCCAATAATACCACAGAGTAATAACTAAGGCACCCCCCTTAAGTTAGTAAGTAAGTACGAGGCAAAAACACGGTGAAAACAATGACTGATTTTTTTTAGGAAAAGAAGGAAGAACTTTGAGAAAACTTCCCTAATTTGAGAAAAACTCCAAAAACTTTGAGTATTTTTCATAAAACGTATTCTGTGCTCATTGTTGGCGTAGAGGATGTCACCGCACGTGGGTTTTCCGTTCTACCGGATTGGCCTGTCTCGTGTCGCTACTGCACTACTTTGGTTGTTTCACACAAAAATCTCAATCAAGAATCGATCTTGAAAGCAGTTGATACAAATTTAAAAATAGGTCCGAGTCTCTAATATTTAGCTGTCATTTGTTTATGACTACGTGTAACTTGCATTCTTGCTATTCGACGGAATAGTTATATACACCGCGGACACGCGATTCCCCTCAACGCCAAATGATTAGTTTTCTGGTCTCCGCGAGGTAGGTTTTCCTTTAGTAATGAGAGTAAAAAGCTAGCTCAAACCTTAAATTTACTTGTACATTCTTTATGTTTGGTCAAAGGGTATTTTTAAGGTATATTCTGCTACAAAAGGACACTGTTAAATTCCTACAAAGCATTTGCTTTGCAAAACTGCAAAGTATTTTGATCCTTTGTAACTACGAAGCATTTACTTTGCAATTACAAAGTGATGCTTTGCAATTGTGAAGCAATAAAACGCGCTGCAAAGCATCGCTTTGCAATTGCAAAGCGTCACTTCGTAATTGCAAAGTAAACGGTTTCTTAGTTGCAAAGGATCTAAATACTTTGCAGGAATCTCACACAGTGGACAACCCTCGGATGAGCCAATGGATGAGCTAGATCTGTGAAAGGTATACGTCGCAGTTATAGCAGCTTTTTAGTGTCTAAAGACTAATCTGCAAGACGCAAATTTTCTCAAATATCACGGATTACTGGCTTAAAAAATGTTTTTTCTGTGAGGTGCCTTTTTTTTTAACGGAGCACCTGCTCTCTCGCCCTCCTCATTTGTCCAACTGATCCTGGTCGCTTCTCGACCTCCTCGGCGGTGACCTCGGCGACCAGGCAGTCGTGGGTCAAAACCCATACGGCGATCATTGTCTAAGCAGGCGTTAAAAGATTGCCCGCTGCTGAACCTAGTTGCTTCGGTAGCGTTTCCTCGTCGCACATTGTCCAGCGCAAGAGGACCCGAGCCACAGGGTCCAACGGAAGGCTTATTACAACAAATACGAAAAGAGGACATTTTTCTTGGTGCCGAGAGAAGAAGGATAG